TGACATTGTAACTAGAACAAGGAAAATCATTGAAAATTACTTAATAGACTTTTAGGATTATTAGCTTTTGTAGAAGGAAGTGTAGTCAATATTTGTTGGTAAATGTAAGTTCTCAATCGTAGCACGGCTACACTTTTGAACTCCACCATCTTACATTTCTCCTTTTTAATGTCTGTTGGTTTATAGGTCTTAAATGGAAAAAAGTTTTCTCCTCTTGGGACTAGGCAAATTATTTAAAGTCGCACAGTTTGATGTTCTACCCTCTGGGCCATCTATGGAATCCCACTCATAAGCACGTGCGGTACTATTATATTTCCATCAAACTAGGCCTATGGTCACAATTCTGAGGGATAGAAGCCTGACCATTTTCACTAGATTAGCCTTATATCATTTATACCATGTATGCAAGATAAATTTAAATTGCCCCTAGTCCCAAGAGGAGAAAACTTTCTCCATTGAGGACCTATAAACCGATAGAAACCAAATATCGCTAGGATAGGCTTTAATTTAGCTTTGATACCATGTTAAGAAAGAGACTTTAAGTCTAACTCAACCCTACAAAATCAACTTGTAAGGTGAGATTTGCACCCACTTAAATACTCTAAATTTTATTTTTAATAATAATAATATGTTGTTTAAGAAGGCTTAAACACCACATTCTCCTTAATTTTTACAAACTACGCTTTCTTCTATTAAAGCTAATAATCCTAAAAGATTATTAACTAATTTTCCATGATTTTGCCTATTCTAGTTACAATGTTATTAGCTTTAATCAAAATAAACTTAACCTCTACAATTTATTTCCACCCATATCGTGCCATATTCCTTCCTTTGTCCTTCAAATAAACTTTCGTTCTCTCATCAAATATATCTTTGTGAGAATTTAAGACTAACTCGAGATGTATATACCTTGGCTATGTGGGTGCAAACCTCTCCGTAAAAACCAGTTTTGTAGGATTGAGTTAGACTTAAACTTCTTTTGCTAACATTGTTCTTACAAGACTATAAGAAGAATGCTATTATTACATTACCCATCACACTCTTCATTATATGTAGAATTTATCTGTATCTCACTCCAAAAGAAAGAGTAAATATAAATTGGTCTTATCAATAGTCGATGTAGGACTTTCAACACATCATTTTCACGCCGAGGTATATACATCTCGAATTAATCCTAAAATATCACATAGATATATTTGAGGAGAGAACGAAAGTTGATTTGAAGGACAAGTGTAGGAATATGGCAGAGTGTGGGTGCAAATAAATCATAGAGATTAAGTTTATTTTGATTAAAGTTGAATGACATTGTAACTAGAACAGGAAAAATCATGGAAAATTACTCAATAGACTTTTCAGATTATTATCTTTGTAGAAGGAAGTGTAGTCAATAGTTGTAGGTAAATGCAAATTCTCAATCGTAGCACTGCTACACTTCTAAACTCCACCTTCTTGCTTTTCTCCTTTTTAATGTATGTTGGTTTATAGGTTTTAAATGGGAAAAGTTTTCTCCTCTTGAGACTAGACAAATTAAATCTACATGCCATGTTCGATGTTCTACCCTCCGGGCCATCTATGGAATCCCACTCATAAGCACGTGTGGTACTATTTTTTTCCATCAAACTGGCCTTGTGGTCACAATTTTGAGGGATAGAAGCCTGTCCATTTTTCACTAGCTCAGCCTCATATCATTTATACCATGTGGGTAACATACATTTAATTTGCCTAGTCCCACGAGGAGAAAATTTTCTCCAATGAAGGCCTATAAATCCAGAATAGAGATTTATGTTTACAACCTTATTTTCGTTTCCATTGTATTAACATTTAAATTTAAAGTTTGTTGAAATAACTTGACTAGAATAAATCACTACGTCTAAAATTTAAACCTCCATTGTGAAAATACTATATATATGAAAAGCATTATTATTCAATAAAAGAATTTTATTAAATAATAATTATTTTCGTACTTAATCATATAAATTTTATTCTTGTGATTATTTACATAAACAATAATTTTTTTATCTATTTAAGAATACGTTTAAATTTAACATTCGATGTGTATAATATTTTTCTATCATTTACAGTTTTTTCTTAAGTATTTTATTTTTGTAATAAATATTATAAAAATATATAAAAGAAATATAAATTTAGAAAATCTATTATCCGGTCATAGTTTTGTAGACAAAATAGAAGTAAATTCACAACCAAAATTTAAGAATAAGTTTATGTGATGAAAGGAGAGAAATATGTCTAAAGATTTGGTAGGTATAAGAAGTGAAATAGGGATCATTGTTTCTTGAACAATTTTGAAAAAAAAAAACAGATTTTGGAATTATAGTAGATATAAAATTCTGCGGAAAGTCGATCAACATCGTATCTATCCCTTAGAGGGAGATCTTTCATATATTTCGAGATCAACCCTACAATATGGTACCAAAAAGCCAAAATAAAAAATTTTAGCCCTACTAAAAATTCTAAAAAAAAGGATTCAACATTTCACGCTCATGTCACGGCGAGGTACTGCAGAAGAAAAAACCGCAAAATCCGATCCAATTTATCGTAATCGATTAGTTAACATGTTGGTTAATTGTATTTTGAAATATGAAAAAAATATTATTGCGTTATCAAATTTTCTATCCACCTATTAATTCAACAAAAAGACATCAACAAATTCATTATTTGTTTTATGTAAGCAATAAGTGGAGTAATTCTTGATACAACAATAAAAGCAAGACACGATAGGGGATCAATTCATCAAGTTATCAATGAAATAAGATTCGCACAAGGAAAAACACTTGCTATTCGTTGGTAATTGGGGGCATCTCGAAAACGTCGGAGTCAAAATATGACTTTCAAATTAATTTTTGAATTATTGGATACTACCATGGGTAGTGGTGATGTCACACGCAAAATGGAAGAGACTCGTAGAATGGCATAGGCAAATAGAACTTTTACACACTTTTGTTAATCCATGAACAAGATCTATATAGACATAGACCCGTGAATCCATACATCTCAATCAAAAAATAATTGAAATTGATGAATATATATATATATATATATATATATATAAATAAACAAACAAAAAAAACGAGAAAACAAAACATAAATCATGGATCAATAAAATCCTCTCAAATACTTGGTTGAGAATAAGAAAGAGAAATATAATGTAAATGCCACATAATAAGGTTTGGTCCTATGAGATTTTTTTAACTATTCCATTCCAACGAGATAAAAAAAATTCGAACCAATTGAGATTTTTTTGAGATTGGATGCAGTTATTGATTCGTTACCTGACATATACCAAATAAAAACTTCGTTCTCGATCTTATGAGAATTTTTATAAAAGTCTTTAATTTGCTTATCCTCAATGGAAGTTTTATTTTCCTATAATGTATTCTAATTTTTAGTTTAATTCTTCTGATGATTGATTGAACCTATGAATAAAAAAATATATATTTGGTTTTATTATCTCTAACAAGTATAGTAACGAAGATAATGACGCTATTGCTCCAATAGAGAAAATAACTTATAATTGTCTTTTCAAAAAAAATTTAAACTAATAATTTCAATGAAATTTTTTAATTTCTTATTTTACTATGTTAAACTCTATCTATTTTTCTATTTGTAGAGTACATTAAATATAAAAAATATTATAAGAGAGTTTTTCTTATTCATATCAACTATTATAGGAAGAATGTTTTTACGTGATACTAACAATTTAATAATTATTTTTTTAATTCTAGAATGTTTTATCTACTGCATGATACACCAAGAAAGATCTATTGTCTAATAAAACTATTACAAAATATTTACTTATAGATAAGAAAAAGCTCTACTACAAAATATTTACTCATAAATAAACAAGCTGTTTTATTCTGATTCATGATTTCTCTAAATTAAAAATAAACCGTTTATTACATTAGAAATATAAGATAGAAATAATAACTTAATTTTTTTTAAATTTATCTTAAAAATCGACGCTAAAAAACTGTAAGATTAAAAGTTTATTCATATGGACTAAATTTTCAATATTTAGGACACTGGTTTAGAATATGCCGAAGATATTCAGGGAATGACACTGTAAGTGCACGCTATCAACTACCAACCGTCAAATTCCAATAATAATTTAAGTTTGTAAACGAAGTTATGGAAAAAATAAAAGTTATTAAAAAAAAGAAGAAAAGAAAGGAAAATTTGCACTTCGTCTTCTTACTCACTCATCAAACTCTTCACGGCTCCTCTGCTTTTCGTTTCTCGCTTGCAGTTGAAACACTCTCTTCTCTTATCACGTGATTCGTCTTCTGGTACGTCAAATGCGACGGTGTCGTTTTCATCGTTTTCCTTGCTCTTTTCTTGATTCCATTTATATTCCTTCAATCCAATTTCGTTTCTTGCTCGCACCAGAAATTTTGTGGTACTTGTTCTAAGAAATTTTCCTCCGTCGGATCGTAAAAGCTTGTTGAAGACGTTAATACATGTGCATCTAGAATAATTTTATTAGCTACTGTTTGATTGGGATTCCAAATTCCAAAATTCTAGTATTGGTTTCCTATTGTTGAGATCACACGCAGCAGAACTAGATTCGGTTTTTAAGTTTATCCGTTTATACCGTAGCGATCCTTGAGCGTGAAGATTTTCTACTAACAGTCCTCTTTAATTATTTATTTTTTATCATATTCTTTTACTGTGAAAAACGTTCTTACATGAGGCACCAGTGAGAAGTATAAATCGCACGATTGTATCCTGTGAAGTAGGAATGGGAGGAAGAACGTACACTTTTGGAAAATTTTAAAAGGATTTATGATCATATTTGCGAGAATTTGGTTTTTTAAGAAGTTAAAGGCATTATAATATGATGTATTTAGCCGACCTAACTTTTGTTGTTATTCTTTTACTATTAAGATGTGGGTTCACCCTTTAAGTGGTCTTCAATTTGATATCTCTTGCTTACATTTTTTTAATTAAAGAAATAAAGAATTCAACACTGATGGTCATTGTCTATCAGAAAGCCACCTGACGTTGGTTGAATTGTAGATATGTAGTAATCAAAACCATATATTTTTCTTTAGCTAGAAAAGAACTTAAGCTTTTTAAGTCCTTTTCCCCCTTTATGCTGTTGTGTTGGCTTGCAACTTTTTGGGGATTAAGGTTAGCAAATTAAAACTGTTTGCTTCGGCGCATCTTAGCTTTTCTTATAAAAGCTGACTAATCAAAACTTTTCCGTGCTTGATTCGTGTGTTTGGTTTAGGTTATCTTTTCTTTAAACATCACAAGGGCGCATAGCTTTGCATTTTATAAATCCGGCTTGGTGGAACCTTGTTTGGTAACCTTTTTTTTTTTTTTTATGTGACTGCAGGTATGGATAGTGCTGCAGGTCAAATTCTCTATCCTTTGCACCGTTGCAAAACTGTTCATCTGGTTTGTTGCAATTTTATCCTTGAGTCATACTTGTTTTTCTCAATTTTTTTTAAAATGAACTAGTGAAGGTACTGGCTTATGGTTTACTCGTTTATTTCATAGAGGCTAATAAGATCAATTCATACATGTACCGCATACACCCTTTATCTGTCAAAAAATATTTTTAAATAACTAAAAAATCAAAACAAAGTTATTCAAATTAGTCATCAGTTTTCAACGGGCTCTTCTTCACTGAAGTTTCATTCCTTCTCTTTCCAAGTTATTCGAATCGCTAAAATTCACAGATTTCCCAGTGCAAACAACTTACTCGTTCCAGTTTTTATTGCTTTTCCTCATTAATACACTGTAATCTTTCAAAAAGTAAGGATGAGTACATGTAATTCAGTTTATGCGGACTAAATTCCTTAAACTTGGTATTTCAATCACAGATCTTAGAAATAGTCATAATAATAAGTTTAAAATATAGGTCTTATAAGAAATTCCCATTGGAGCATTCTAATGTGACATGGGAAGGTCTTAAAGACCTTGAGAAACAAAGAAAAAAAAATGCTTTTCTCCATGGAAAGATTGTACATGTTTAAAGTGTAAATAAAATATTTTGAAAGTATAGGTCTTATAAAAGCTTTCAAAAGAAGGATTTTAAAACTGATGTGGTAAGCAGGAACCAAAATAAAGTAAAATAAGATCAAATGGTATGACTCTTAAACTGAAAATTACCTTAGATGTTGAACATGTTTTACTGTTCTTGAGATCATTCGTCATTTGGATCACTTTCTATGGCATTAATGTCTTGTAAAAATTTGTATACAGGTTAGACATGCTCAGGGAGTTCATAATGTTGCAGGAGAGAAGAACCATGATGAATACATGTCTTACGATTATTTTGATGCACACCTAACCCCTCTCGGTTGGAACCAGGTAGTTGCCAGGCAGATTTATTTAACGTCATGTTTTCGAGTATTGTTGGTTTTAGTGTTATGCAGAATTCCTCTCAAAGTGATTTCTTATCAAAGAGACAACGAGTCAATAGCAATGTTCTTTATCTACTTATTTCCTTCCCTGGTTAATTTTTGGTCGTTAAACGTCGCTTTGTGGTTGACAGGTTGATAATCTGCAAAAACATGTGAAGGCAACAGGACTTTCGAAAACTGTCGAACTTGTTGTGGTTTCCCCATTGTTAAGGTATAACTAAATTGTTATTTGGAATTTTCCTCTGACATGCATCACTTTGATTCTGTTATTTCCTTTATTGTCTTGTTAAAAATGTACATCTGAACAAGTGTGCAATATGTGTAAAATAAGATAAGTTGAAAGAATGTTTATTGGTAACATTCTGACAATGATGCCAACATCACTTTGATGTGCAATATGTGTAAAATAAGATAAGTGTGCAATATGTGTAAAATGTACATCACTTTGATGCCAACATATCATATCTGACAATGATGTTTATTGGTAAGATAAGTTGAAAGAATGTATGTTATCTATTGTTTAACAAAGCAGGGACGAGATATGTTGGCATCAGACAACGGTGGATATAACACCAGAAATTGGCCAGAATGACTGAAAATTAGGACATAGTTTGTGAAAACTTAAATCTCTTATTGATTAGTCATGTATGAACCGGTTATTATGTTTTTCTTCTGCAACCTGACTTGTAACAAATAGAACATAAATATTGGGATAATTAGGGAAACTATCTGACATTAGTTTTTGAATTTCAACACATTGTGTCTGCTGGTATGTTATATTGATGCTTGTATTTTTTATTTCTCTACTCATGTTATTGTAATGTCTTTCATGTTCTGCTTTCGTTTAAATCATGATCACACTATGACTTTAAGGAAGGGTCTTCTAATATCTCTTTAAATTTACGAGAAGTTGGATACAATTTCAGCCATATCTTTTATGTTGAGATAGAATTTGACCTAGTTGATATGATAAATTGATGGTATGTGTGAAGAAATCTTTTTTAAATGTCTTTCATTTAGTGAGAACATAGAATACTTATGTGTTTGGAGCTATTGTGAATTGAAATTGCTAATTATTACATTACAGGACCATGCAAACAGCAGTTGGAGTCTTTGGTGGTGAAGTATACACTGATGGGATTAGTGAACAACCTCTTATGATGGAAAATGTCGGACACAGTGATCATCTTGCAGTTTCTAGTCTGAACTGCCCTCCATTTATAGCGGTGGAGCTTTGCCGAGAGCAAATAGTATGTTACTCTACAAAGAGGATGATAAATAAATGCTACACTACATGAAAAATACTGTCTTGCTTTGCTGCTTGGGTGATTGAATAAACTGATTTACATAAATCATTCCCACGGTTTGTCAGATTCTGGTAGATCCTAAAATAAAAAAATACAGATAAACCAACTGAGTTCACAATTTGGCTACTAGACCATTGACCGTCATCTCGAGCTTCTGCTCAATGAAACTGATGAACATCGTGTCTTCCAGTCTCATCTTTTCGTGAACTTTTTGTGTGTTCCTTTACTGAATAACTTCAAATCATTATATAGCTTTCTGAGAGTTTAAAACGGCCCTAAAAGGTTATACTGGCTAGTCCAAACATTGCCCAGTTCTGTTTGTTCTTATGTTACGTCTGATTATGACGACATCTCCGACAAGGTCACTTGAATTTTTAAACTGTCCAAAGTTGGTAGGTTTATTGTAGTGAGTATGACTTCTTTGAATTATTTTGCAATCTGCTATTTGCCTTTTTCAATAGCCGTTTCACTAAACAATTAATAGAGGTTACTTGTTTCAGTATATATGTATGTGGCCAATGAACTTGTAACTAGCGAAAAGATTAAATTAACACGAAGAGGGAAAAGACTTTTAACTACCTCCCTCGTATCGTTTTAAATTCATTAGCTATACGAATAATGATTTTATGTGATGCTTTATTTTTGTAATACAGGGACTTCATCCTTGTGATAAGAGAAGAACCATCAGCGAGTACCGGAATATGTTTCCAGCAATTGATTTTTCACTTGTAAGTATTTCTTTTAACAATCAAGTTTGTTCTGATGCACACTGGTTCCCAGAAGATAAATAGAAGAATATGGTTGAACAAGATTCATTCTTAATGTGAAATATGTTTAGATTGAGAGTGAGGAAGACATTTTGTGGAAACCTGACGTCAGAGAGAAGGTAGAAGCAGTTTCTGCTAGGGGCTTGAAGTTTTTGGAATGGTAAGCGGGATTAAATAATTTTGTGCATGTTTCTTGTCAATGACTGCATATTTAACAGGAAGATTAATCTTGCTGAACAAAAAGGTAGGGATAGAACAAAGAGGCACGAGCATACACAAATTAAGCTTCTTTCATATTTGCATAATTTAAATTCAAAAAGAAAAGATGTATTGGTTTGGATCACTTCAAGTGTTTGCTGAGATTTTTGCCTTATTTTTTTGCATTGCATCTGAAACGTTTGTTTGCGGTTCATGTGGTTTCATATTTAGATTTTATAGAATGTGACTTTGTAATGAGGCCAAAATCTACATTTTAGATGGTTCTCACATTCTTGCCTTTTCTCTACCAGCTTGAATATGTTTTACACAATATTTGTCGCAAGTGTCATCTAGCAGTTACAGCCAAAGATCTGACATCTTTTCCCCAAATTTTGCTGTGTTGGTTCAGGTTGTGGACACGTAAAGAGAAGGAGATAGCAGTTGTTACCCACAGCAGTTTTCTGTTTCATACCCTTCGTGCTTTTGGAAAAGATTGTCATCCGAACATAAAGAGTGAAATACGCAAACAGTAAGCATTTGCCTTAACTAATCGATTAGAAGCATATTCAGGTTGATATATGGTTGGATAATAAATGATAAGGTATCTTTTGAAAATGTCTCCTGAACACTAAGAATCAATTATAAGCCTTCAAGAAAAGCTAGGAAATATAAAAAAAACAAACTTCATGACTTTATTTTATGTTGTTTTAATATAATCTAAATTAGTTACCTAGAAATTCTCCATCAATATAATCCAAATAATACAACACACTCATCGGCACCCTCGTTCTCACTCCGTGCTCCCCATTGTTCACTAGCATAGAAGTCACCACGTTTTGTGGTTGGTTTGTTGGAAAAGGAATTTCTTTTCTAATGAACTTGACATCCTTAAATACAAAATATTTATGCGTTTCTATTCCTTCAGTTGAGAAATCTCTTTTGGGCTTCTGACCCTTCCCTTGCACAAAGCCAAATTTCCTTTCCGCCTTTAGTGAGGTTGAAATTTTTCTTGCTCATTTATCGTAGTTATTACCACGTTATAGAATCGAGATAATGATGTTTCTCAGACCATCACTTTATCCAAGATAAGTTTGTTTTCTCTATCTTTCTGTTAGGCATGATCTGTCATAGTGGTTCTTGCCTTATAATTCTCAACAAGTAATTGATTGGTGATAATGATGTTTTCCAGCCCGTAACTCAATTCATGATGGTACATTTCTTTTCTCTCTATCCCGCCATCATATGATCTCTCATTATGGAACTTGAGATTAAAGTAAAGAACATTTAGAGTGAATTTGTGAGAGTGTTTCCCCACTTAGGATTTCATATTTATAGTAGTTTGAGATACATTAAATACAATGGATGAGAGAAAAAAAAGAAAGAATTCTAGAAGATGGTCGTAGGAACTAGGTCTAAAGCATGCTTCTAGGTACTAGGTCCAACGCATAGTGCAATAAGTCCTATTTAAGACTATTTATTCTAACACTCTTCCTCAAACTAGAGCATACAAATTGTATGTATCAAGTTTGAAACAAATAAATTCAATCTAAGGACCTCTCAAGAATTTTGTTAATACATTTGCAAGTTGATCATTTCATCCGACACACTTAATGCAAATTTCTTTTGACAACAATTCTTCTAAAATAAAATGACAATTTATTTCAATGTATTTGGTCCTCTCATGGAATACAAAATTAGAAGAATTGTAGAGAGTAGCTTGATTATCACAACAATACATCTTCATTGGCTTGATGTCAAAATTCTTGTACAAATTATTTAACCCATATAAGTTCACATGTCAGGGATGTCATTGTTCTACACTCGACTTTAGCAAATGATCGTGCAACAACATTCTACTTTTTACTTTTCCACGAGACTATATTTCGTCCAAGCAAAACACAATATCCCATGATAAAACGTCTATCCATAGGAGAACTAGCCCAATCAACGTCATGATATCCAAAAACTTGGGTATTTCCTTTATCTTTATAAAAGAAATCCCTGTCTTTGAGCCTTTTTAAGATATCTTAGGGTATGAATGACAACATTTCAGTGATCAACACAAGGATTTTGCATGAATTGGCTCACAACACCAATTGCAAAGGACAAATATGGCCTAGTAATAGAAAGATAAATAAGTTTTCTAACTAGTCTGTACCTTTTGGATCAAAGAAAGCTTCTCCTTTTTTTTTCATTAATTTCTGATTTATATCTATAATACGACAGTCCATTGTTTACAGTTGATCATACCTGTCTCTTTAAAGATATCAAGAGCATATTTCCTTTGAGAAATTACAACTCCTTCCTTCAAATAGGCTACTTCTACGCCCAAAGTTACTTTAGATTTCCAAGATCCATAGTCTTAAAATGATGGTATAAATGTTCCTTTAACTTAGAGATTTTACTAATATCATTGCATGTGATCACTATATCATCAACATATACTATTAAGTACACACATTTTCCAGGGAAGGTATGGCAATAGAATACAAGATGAACTACCTCATTATGTTTCTACCGAAAAAATTGAATAATGTGGCTAAATTTTCTAAACCAAGCATGAGGAGATTGTTTAAGACCATAGAGAGAGTGACACAACTTACAAAGCAAACCTGATAGGGATTGGAAAGTATATGAGAGGAGAAGAAAGGAAGGGGGAAAGTGAGTTAGAAGCATAATTGTATTAACAATTAGGAAGTTGCGGGAATGAGATGATATAAAACAGAGTTATTGTTTCTTTGTTAGGGAGAAAGGATTGTTTTGTAAAGTCTGGACTTTGGCTAGAGGAGGGGGATTAGGCTCCCGTTTAGATCATTATGATTGTACATTGTTCTCTAATAATCAGGAACCCAATTCTTTTCTATATGTGTTCTTGTTGTTTGTGTTGAAAGAGTGAGCAAGATAGGTTTAATTTCTCAGAAACCTATCAATTGGTCTAACCTGCCGGATACAATTGGGAGCAAAAGGTGAAATGGAGTGGAGAATCAACAGGCCATTAAACGTAGTAGAGGGTCAACTGGAAGCTATGAAGATCGTAGTGAATAGGATGAAGGCGAAAACGGCGGCACTACGTCAAGACTCAGTAGCGATATGTCAAGACTTGTAAGAAGTCATGAAAATTTTGGGAGGACGACCCACGGCCAGGGGGGACATTTGGACGGAAGTCAGGCATCCGTCAACGGGAACAAGAGGGCTTGGTGAGAAGAAGACATTGGAGATAGAGAGGCCGAATGCCATGAAAGGCAACCCAATTGGAGGAAAAAGGTAGAATTGCCCGTATTCGAGAGATTGACTCGTTGAATTGGATTAATAGGGTTGAGAAATTCTTCGAGTTACAAGGGGTAGCAGAGGAGGCAAAAGTGCGCCTAGCCTACATCAGTATGGAAGGTAGCATTAGTTACTAGTTGGAAGGAGAAAGACAAGAATCGTACGTGGAAAGGTCTAAA